TTTGACCTCTTTTTTTACTTTTTCTTCTTCCAATACTTCATGTCTTTGCTAAATTGGTCTTTGACTCTATCACATCTTTGTTTCTTCTTCTGGGTCATCTTTCGACTATTTTCACTTGGTCCCTAAACTTTGATTTTCTTTCATTTTAGTCCATTTTCGCTCGTTTTTCCTAAATTCTACCATATTCATCGATATTGTCTATAAAATATAATTTATATGGAATTAAGTCATATTTCGACATATTTGCTGATAATTGTTCATGTTTTGTGGCATAAATAAGTGTATAAAATGTACATGTCAAAGGTCTTGTTTATCGCAGCTTGGATGTTGTTCCATCTCCCCCTATGTCCCTTTTGGTATGGTTGTTGCAAATTTGCTAATCATCAATGTATTGAATCTAGTGTTGTTTTTCCAATTGTTCCTCTTGAAATACTCTCTCAGACAATAGTTATCACCCACGCTCTCAAGCATGCTATTTCTCGTGGCATTTCTAGTGTTTTTACTATTATTCTTGCTTCAGTTATTAGCCTTTCTCATAAGCATACACGTAAGTTTCGACCCTTCATTATCTTTTTATATTGCTCACTCTCAAACAATTTAGGGACTAAAACTTCATTTAAGGGTATTATGGAAGCTATTGATAGCGACGAGGTCGATCTCAAGTAGATGTTGATATGTGATATTGAATGAAGTTGGGAACTACCTTCTAGCTTGCTATTGATGAATTATTATCTATTCTAGTAGGTGGGTCCCACAAGTCCTCATCCTTGGGGCTTAGCATCTCAAGGGTACCATCCTCTTTAGATAAGGTTCGAACATAAATTCATAGTAACATGAACATTATGAGTTGGGATGACTGCACATTTAATGTTGAAGATGATAAAACGAGTTTTGTGGCTCATCATGCATATGATTCTGATTACAAACTCTACCGAATGCGACACAACGTCCTATATTTCTACTTGCCATGTGGTGGGGCTACTTCCTCTCGATGCGAGCCCTCTCCCTCTATTAGTATTTTGAGTATGCCTATTATTTTGACCAAAACACTTTATCATACAAGATGTATGAAGACCAGATCTATGATTACTGGATGATGGATGTGCCCTTATGAGTTTCATCGATATACATATTATGTTTTATTGTACTTCCCTCTTCGAATGAGATTATTTACTCTTCTTTTACTGGAGGTTTGATCTATGCCCCTCCCAGCTGTGGATCTTTTTTCTTGTTATTAATAAAATAACTAATTAATATGGTTTAATTATAAAATACACACACGTGTGTTTGTCAATATTAGTGAAAATACATTGATTCAGTTTTGTTTACTTAATACATGAGTTGGCATGTTCTTCATAAAACAAGAGATTAATCAACAATTGTTCATTTGATGGGATGGATTTTGGAGGTGGTATATCTTATTAATAATAAAATAAACATAGTATGGCCTATGAGAAGCGCTTTACTCTACCTTCACTCAAAGGTACAGTAGAAAAAAATTTACTCCGTTTGGAGAAGGGAAGGCAATGTAAAAAGGCAAAATAATTACACTTCTTGCGGCATAATCTTTGTAAACATATGCCGAATGTAGTGTGTATTTGGCTTGGGATCATTTTCAGCTCTGACTTGAAGGGGTTGAGTTGGTTCTTCAAGTTCAAAAGTCATAGCTTCATCACAGTCAAAAGTAACCTCGATATATTCCCTTGCCCTCAAGAAAGATGGTGCCTCCCCTTGCTATCAAATCTCATATTGTTAAAATTCTTGTCAACTAATTAATTGCTGGAATATATTTTCATACGTATGTCATTAAGATTGAATAGAAATGTCTCGCAATAATAAAAAATATATATATATTTCATATTTATGAAGTAGTAGTTGTAGTAGGATCCTCACGTGTTATATATGGGCATTTCGTTACATTACCTCAATTAATTAATCCTTATTTTATTGTTATATTTATTACAATAATTTCCTCACATACGCTAATGAGTGCTACAGAGTTCCCTACACGTTTATATCATTAGAGTTTTTCAATTGATCCTTATTTTATTGTTCATTGGTATTATTATTATAATCGTATGATCAAAGCAATTATTTACTAAACTCGAAACATAACTAATTATTATTGAAGTAATTACAAAAATGAGGTATGTGTACATCTCTTTGTCAAGTGTAATATACTGTCCCTTTATATATATCTTGAATTTTCTTGTGCTAATATATTGTGGTAACATTTCTTCATATCTCTTAATTTATTACGATAAATTATGATATAGACAAGACAAGATGAAACCGTTACTGGTCTGCTTTTCCTAGTGCAAATTCGGATTCTAGTCGAAAAGAAAAGTGTATTGGGACATAAGCCACACCACAGTAGTCCATTTTGCTTGATATGAGTTGGTTCCTGTTGAGAATTTCATGTACCTGTGCATTATCATGTTTTCAATATTGAAAATGGATTTTTATGCAATAAATTTACAAGAACTCTCTCTCTCTCTCTCTCTCTCTCTCAACTAATTAAGCAAGACCCTTTACTTGACTAGATATTTTCCGTCTACCTTCATTAAGATAGACAAAATTAATCAGTTTCCAAAAGGTTAATTAGATACATGAAGTGAAAAGTTAGAGATTCATTCTAATTCATGCATGGTGGTACTTCAGCTGTATTGTTGTCTCTACTTCTATTCTAAATTACTTTTAAACTTGCGCATGTAAGTTCTAAAAATTGTTATATAAACTCGACTAGCTTGAGATTATTTTAGAATAAAAAGTACAAAACATACGTACATACACACAACAAAGAGTAACTTAATAATTTGAACTTCAATGCACATTATTTTGGTTAAAACTTCTTTCATCCTTGGCTGTCATTCAAAATTATTGGTGGTCTATTACTAAAATTACCTTCAAAGCTAAATCTCGGCGAGAAATAGAACAAAAATATCATAAACTTGGAATAATTGCCAAGAACATGGCTCGATCCTTTGAATCTTGAGAATGCTATTTCAAGATTATTATATACTAGACTATGATGTATTTTCCCTAGCTAACTTGTACTCCTAGTCTTTTGGACTTGTTATGGATTTTTATTTATTTATTTATTTTGGTACTCCTAAGTCTTTTGGACTTGTTAAGTTTGCTTTGTTCCATTTTTTTTTTCATCGTCTATCTCTATGTTTCCTCCTAATCAGTACGTTTATAAATTATGAATTAATACTCCATCCTCGTATTTGTTGGGAAAAATAATTTACTACAACCTAGCGTGTACATGAGAGAAGCAAGGAAGGCAATTTCTATCAAATATACACGTGGATTCTGGCAATGCAATATAGTTAGACTCTCATGTCGATCTGAATGAATCATCATTTCCTTATGCCTACCTTTTTTAATATATTTTTAGTCGTTTTAGTGTCCAGTGACGGAATTGTTAGAGCTAATGTTCCTTTTAAAAGAGTAGATAGTTTCTGATACCAACTCTCTGATATTCAAACTCATGATGACCTAGATTTTACCATGACTCAAATAATTATTAGAAAATAAGGGTGAGTTCTAATAATTAAAATTGATGAAGGTGGATTGAAGATAGCACGTGTAGAAAGAGAGAGGAAAAGAGAAGACAAAGGTGACGGCTGTTTTTGAGAGGAGCTCCAAATTCCCCGTGAGGAGTGTTTGGAAGCTTCTCAATATTTTCACAAATTAAACATTTTATTTTGACGCATTCCTTCACTTGTTCGATAATATATTGTATAAAAACAAATATATGCCCAAAATAATTCATATATGTTTCAACATAGCAATCCAAACTATGATCACGAGCTCATCCTATATTCATTCATTCCTTCTCTCTCTTTCTTTTTTTCTCACGAATTTAAAATGTTAATTAATGTCCTTTCTGATTACTTTTACCATTTTATCCTCAACCATTTTTTTAATTTATTCTGCTGAATATAGAAGAATACCCTCGTTTTATTGGTTCTTTTTTTATTTTTTATTTTTTTTCCAACTGGTATAGGTATCATATTTTATTAATAATAATTAAAAAAAAAACCATAAAACAGGCTTAGGTGGGGATTTGGCATGACAACAGCTAAAGTTACAATAAAATCAAACTTGCCATACCCATAGATCGGGAGTACAATGTTCATGCGTTTTAGTCACACTCATTGTCATCGTACATTGAGTGAAGTGTCTCTTTGGCATTTGTTACTATTTAGGTGGCTTATACACATTATCCTAATATATTTTGCAAGTATAAATTGACATTTAAATATCATCGTTCGACAGTAATATCATCATTCCTCGGTAACTTTTTTCCTCAATAGCTACATTCTATTGAAGATAGGAATCTACTTGACATTTTTTATTTTTGGTTTTCTTTCTTTTTGGTCATATATGAGGGAGCCTAGAAGCATCTTTCAAGATGTTAATTGCTTAGTCTTATCGTTCTCACTTTGTGGAGAATGGTACTTTTGATACAAAGAAGTGCCAATTTTGTATAACATTGCAATAAAACAATATAAGAATTTAAGAAATGGAAATCTTTAAAAGCTAAAAAAATATTAAGCAATTGGCGTAACTAAAACATTTGCAGTCTTTTAACAAAATTTGAATTAATGAAAGTAATCACTTTTGTTTAATTCAAATGCAAATGTCTATGTTGTCATTAACTTCTTCTCTTCCATTTCTAGGTATCTTAGTAAACTGAATTAATGAAAATAATATCTTTAGTTTTTCGTTGTGATGTTGTTGAAAATAATAATCAGTAGGTGCACTTGTACATCCCAACTAGGTAAGCACCCTTATGAAGTTATCAGTTACATTTTTTAATATCAATGCAAGTATATTCTTACCAGAACAGTGGAAGAAGAAAAAATGAAGTTACAGAAAGGGCAATCTAGTAGTTTCACACGTAATTATCCTAGCATTCCGAGTAGTATAATTCGATATTTTTTGATAGGATACTGAGGCCCGCGGTCATGTGGGAAGCAAACAAGAGATGATATTGATTTGAGAGGAGCATCTCCTCTTTAAAAGGCTGTAGCTTCAGAACTTGCAGAAAGCAATACAAAGAAGATAGCTATAAAAAAAGAAGGCAGAGATAGAGAGAGAAATTAATTTGTAAAAAGAGAGGTGGAATTGGAAATCATGGTTTCTAGAGAGCACAAGATTGACTCACAGCACGATAAGCTGCAGCTTCTTCGTTCAATCACTCATTCTCATGCAGTAAATACACTGCACTTTTCAGCCATTAGTTGGTTCTCTTCCACCAATTTGAGCACACACACGTCAACTGTATATAACTGAATTATCATCTTATGAAAAACCTTTTATATATTTGTTGTCAATATCTACTCTTAATATTTTCTTCATTTTTCTAAAATTATATCTTTGTGTTTTCAATATTTCTTGAAATTGCTTGATTAATAAGATGTTCTCCTTCTATCCATGTATTATTTTGAATAATTCTAGACTTTAATTTTCATTAATCCCAGCATATATCAATTAATCTAGGTAGCTCTTCAAATTTTATACTTTAGACTTCTCTGAGAATTCGAAATAATTCTAACTCTTAATTTCTTGACTTGGCAGATTAATGAAACATCAATAATAGTAGATGCATCAAACTATATTAAAGAATTAAAGCAGAAAGTAGAGAGTCTGAATAAAGACATAGCAAGTGCAAGCGACCTGAATTCATTGCCTGTAAATTCTCAAAAACTTTCCTAGCTTCTCATTTACTTTTTACTTAGAGCTAGAAGACATGGTAATAAGAAGTCAGAGCTTTAATATTTGACATGTTTTCCGTGCAGCAAGTTACAGTAGAAATCCTCGAAAAGGGCTTCTTAGTGAACGTTTATTCAGCAAAAAATTGCTCTGGATTGCTTGTTTTCTTATTGGAAGCTTTTGAGGAGCTTGGTCTCGATGTTCTTGAAGCTAGGGTTTCTTGTCAAGACAGATTTCATTTACAGGCATTTGGAGGAGAAGTAAGACTTTTTGGATTCTGTTAAGTTTTCAAACCATCTCAAGACAATAATGAACGAGAGATTCTACTTTCACATGAATTGCACGAGCTGGAAATTAAAGGCTAATTTAATGTATATTGTCTCTGATAGTTTAAACTTTAAAATTTTCTCAATGTCAGAAGCGATGATTGGCTTTCTAAAATAAAATAGAACACCCTTTATTGACAATTGATCAATGTCTTGATTTCTCCCAGAATGAAGAAGACGAAGAAAACTACATCAATGCCCAAATGGTGCAACAAGCAATTTCCGAAGCCATCAAAAACTGGCATGGAAGTAATGAGAAAGACTGATCAGGGTTATATGCTGTTAGATATATTTATCTCTCTTTCTTGATATTTCCTTTGAATTTCCTTTTCATTAAGTTTAATCAAAGGAATCAAATAGTTTTCTATAATGTCAACAGGCCAAGATCGAATCGTGATCAAACTCAAAAACATTTTGGGAAGGTAATGATAAATCAATAACCTTGAAATTGTTGTGATGTGAGTCGAACATATCTCTTTACTGGATGATGATTCCATATCATGTTTATATATAGTGTAAGGCTTGGCAAGATGTGCTTTATTAAGGCAGCCGAAGTTTGTCTACTACTTGACATCTGATGCAAAAGTTAACTAGCTAAAGCTTTTTCTACGTTATAATATAATGATTGTGAAATATGACATAAAGCTAGTGTATATAATCCAAGAAAAAAGAAATTATATGGACCTTCATAGGAATTCCATAAAAAATAATTGTTGTCCCAAACTTTTGTCTATAGTGAGTAAAAGAATAACTTAAGAATTAAGCTAGTTGTAGACCCATGGTGTACAATTAGTTTGACACCCTTTGAGGTGTTAAAATTGAGGTCGTTGATCTGATTAAGTATTGTTAAAATCAATGGTAAAACTGTGTATTTTGTCAAAGAGTGTAAACAAAATTGTCAACCATGTGCAAGTGTAGCAAAAATTAATAGCTTAATAGTGCATGGAACTGCATGCATACGGCTATGGCACCTTTTGGTTTTAATATACACTTAATAATAGAGTGTGAGATGATTCTTGATAAGGAAGTACAGTCTCAATAAGAATTTTCAACATTCGTCTTTGATATTTGATGGTTCATTAATACTGGTGAAAGTTTAAATAAGCCGAATAGTTTAGACCTAAAATGTGGAGTCGAAATAATAAAAAACTAGAATTCACAATTTATTATCTCTAGATGATTAAGTTTAATTAATCCAATTAAATCCTAAATCATGCAAGTAATTTAGATCAAAAGCTATAAAATAAATAATAAACACCAAATATGATCGCAGAAGAAAATCCCTAACTAGATTAAAAACTTCTGAGCAAACTTGTTAGCAAAATTCACTAGAAAATTTAACTGACAATAGTCTAGACACTGTTAATTCTTAGTTAACTCTAACCACATAACTTGTAAACCACCAAGGAATTCCTTTGATTGTGCACTCCCACACTTTTTAGAACTCTAAACTACATTTTTCTCCATGTGGATCTATAAGAAAGAACCTCGTCCTTGAGCCTCAAAACTCCTAGCACCTCTTCCCAAAACTCTAGAACTCTAAAGACTTGGCGAAGGTCGGATTTTGTTTTTATGTTTGATTAAGGATCTTTTTGTGCTTTGGTCTGTAGGTTGAAGCAAGAGATATTGGAAGATGAATATGGCTTTCAAAGTATACTCTCTTAACTTGCAACAAGCCACTACCAAAAAACGGGTCAATATATGAATATTTTTATCTTGTGTTGAATCTAAAAACCAAAGTGTATTTGGATATTCAATTGCGTAATCTCTAATGTAAAATAGAGATTCAACACACCATGAAATGTTCATGGAGCTTTATATTTATAGTGGAGGTGTTTGGGGGTGAAAGGGGGGATAAAAAATAACTAGTTTACGCAAATTGGAACTGTTGTATCTTGAATCATTGCTCGAGCGAAATTCTCATGATGAGTGAGCAATCGTCTAGTTGCTCGAGCGCCAGGCTAACGCCAAGCGAAAGACAAAATCCTTGTTTCGAGCACTCGATCACCACGCTCATGGGAGGCGAGCACCGATGAGTCCGTCTTCGAATCAACTTCATGAAGTCTAAGTTTTGACTTCTTTTTAGACTCTATCTACGCAAACTATTTTTACTATAACTAGGACTTAATAAATCTTACTCTGACCTTGATTACAACTCAATAAACTCTTAATACAGCTCAATTAGGACTTGAATTCGACTAAAAAAATTACCAATTTGAAAATTGCTAATTACAATATGGATTTAACAATCTCCCCCTTTGGTTGTAAGAAATATTGTAATTTCTTACTATCTATAAGAAATATTGTAATTTTGCAGGTACATAATGAATTCGCAAGATGAAAAATATCTAAAAGTCTTTAAAAATCTTCAATCAAAGTCTATAGAAATTCATGAAAGATTTTTATTAATTATTAATAAATCCATAGAAGTCACTTAAAAGTCCATAAAACCCACAAAAGTCACCCAATTAAAAAAGTCTATAAAAATATTTAAAAATCCCAATTGAATACACCCCCCTAAATTTCATAATTTTTAACTTGTCACTTGAAAAACATGAAAACAACGGGATCACGTGAAAAGTAAGAGGAAACAAACAATTTAAAAATAAAATAAAATAAAATAAAACACTAAGTTGTATAAAACAATATAAGTAAAACATGTACAACATCAAAGCAAGCAATACTATGTGTAATTAATAACTTAGAAATAACATTTAGAAAATTAATAAATAACGTAAGTAAAACATGTGCAATGCCAAAACATGCAATACTATGTGTGATTAATAACTTAGAAATGGCATCTAGAAAACTAATATCAAGATGATAGAACACAATATCTATATTAAAATTCCAATAACTAAAAAAATTCTAAGATTCACCCTAAGTCACGTATCAACTCAAAAAATTATCAACTTCTCCCTCTAACTCATATGCTAACTCTCTAAAATAAATACCCCTTTCCCTTTTTGTTACAAATAATCATGAGTAACATGGAGAGGAATGAGTTAAAAAAAATACGCACATATAAAAAATATGCAAATTTTTGCAAAACATATGATGGGAGATAAAAAAATTATTAAAAAAAAATCTTTTTCTTTTGAGAAACCTATTTTATTTTTCTGGATTTTTTTATAGAAATAATATAATGAATAGTTATTTTGCTTATTTATACAATTATATTTCACAAACCATAATCTTTTCCCACATAACTCAAAACTAAATGGAATAAATTATATAAGCTATTCATGTGTTAAAAGTGACATAAAACTCAAGTAAGCAAGTTTCAAAACCTTAAATCAATGAAAAAGGATATGTAAGAAATCATGGGTTATTCTTAGGGTACATAAAGGGGGGCATAAGGGTGTCCAAAATGGACACTGGCGCCCCCTATATATTGGAGGGGCGCCTATGGTTATGTACTCCATGAATTATTCAGAAATCATTGGTGAATTAATATAATCTTCAACTTGTAAAGGCAAACCTAGTGCTACTAAGTGCTTTTTAAATTAAAAGGCTCATATTTAATTGTATAATTTTTTCTTTCTCCACCTATTAGTGATCGCACACATATATCTTCTTTTATTTTTAAAATCTTATGTAAGACTATTCTTTATTAATTGTTTTATATGACCCTTTTATTGAACTTTAGATTGATAACTCCAAAATCAGTTGGGCATTAAGTATTAAGATACCCCATAGGCATAATCACTCAAGTCATATAGGATATAAAGAAAAGTATAAAATTGTCTCAAAACAAATTTTTGTCTTTCATATATTTTTTTTGAAACTTAATAACAAAATTTTTTTCTTTTTTAATAAAGACATCCACACATCCTTAGTGACTTTTTAGGGTTTACCAAGGAAGGTCGATGGTGGGCAACGATTTTCCAACTATATATATATAAATCAAGAATACAGGGAAGGAGGGGGACATAAACCTTACCTTCGAAAAAGCAACAATGCAACAAGTGAATAAAAAAGAAATTAAAGTAATAAATAAGGAAGTATTACTTTCCTGTACAATGGAATTAATGAGAAAAATGGAGCCTAAGCTACAATCATCTAAAGCTAGGTAGTCTATGTTTGTCGATCTACACCAGTGTCTTAATCTGTCATGGTAGGTCAGATGGTCTATGATTTCCTCTCTATAGGTGTGGAGACAATGTCTTTGTCGAAGGAGATTAGGTCTCTGATCTCTCTAAAGTGCCTTGAATCTTCTATGGTCCTCCACCTTCGGTGATGCAATAAATAGCCATGGTTGAATCTGCCTCAACCAAAATAGCTAATAGCCTAATTCCTAGAATTCCATCTAGTATAGCTCTAAGCTCAACTTCCAAAATCAAACATGGGCCACACGATACTGAGAATATCTTGATGCATTGTCCTATATGGTCCCTAATGATGCCCCACCACTTGCAAATTCATCCTTGATGTATCCATCAGTGTTGATCTTGTAAGATCCCACCGGTAGAGTGTGCTAAATGACCATAATATGTGGTGGTGGTGGTGGAGGAAGAGTCCATCAGTGTTGATCTTGTAAGATCCCACCGGTAGAGTGCGCTAAATGACCATAATAGGTGGTGGTGGTGGAGGAAGAGTCATAGAAATACCAAAGAGTGGTGCAAGTGTCAAGTCCCCTTGCCAGTGCATAGCTCTAAGAAGTCTTCCCATATGAAAGAAAGAGACCATGTAGTGTACCCTCCAAATAATCCGTCTAGCCACCATGCGGATCTCTCTATACTTCGTATCATTCCTTTCGGTCCATAAAAAAAGAATATTAGTAGATAAATGATAGTACGAATGTGTCCATAGCCAATGTACTGTCCAGAATACCTCCATCTCTAGAACCTTTGTCTGACCGTCTCTTGATCTCATAGGTATCTGAAAATGTCTCCAAAGTGTTGCCATACCTAATCGGAGATGTTGCTGCCAATGAAGATATGACTGATGGTCTCAATCTCAGAGCATCACTGACATCAAAAGACCAATTGACATGCAATCCTACTCTGAACGACTATATCTATATGAGTAAGTTCTTGTCATAATCTCCAATAAAAGAATGAAATATAGGTAGCCAAAATAGAGCTCCATAGTAATTGATACGACTCGTAAGACTGATGAACCGAACGGATTAGCTGCCATACTGAATTGATAGCAAAGCTATCGTCCGAAGTGATCTTCCAAACAATACAGTCTGGGGCATCTACACATATAGGTATCATCCCTATCTGCACTGCCATGTGAGGAAGAGGAGCCTTTAATTATCTTCCAAAATCCTACCCAGTGTTTTTAAAAAATTTTACAGCATCGCAGATGTGTGTTCCCTATTTGGGAATAGGGATACCAGTGTAGTATTAACCATCCAGCAATCATGCCAGGAGAACATCTGTCATGTGCTAAGGTGCCATGCAATGCGTGGCTCAGTGTGTGGCGCAATGCTCTTCAACCTCTTCCAGGTAGGAAATGCCGAGTAGAGAACTGCTGCAAGTGATGGATGAGTCCTCATACAAAATTTGTCTAGTAAGAACTGAGTCCATAGAGAATTCTAAGACTGAAACAACCACCAAAACTTTATAAAGAAAGTGTTTACCACATTTTGTAGTCTCCTGAATAGTGATCTGTCCTCATATGTTGAAAGGTAAATCTCCTTCCAACTCCTTCAGTATAGTCAGCGTGCCTGATCCTTGGAATCTCATAGGAACCCTGCAAAGATGCTCTCCAACTTTTCTAGTATAGAGGAGGCTATATAATTTGAAAAAGATAAATTGGTAGAGATGATAGTATTAATCTTAACAGATTAATTCGACCACCGGGTAATAGTAGATGAGAAGCCCAGTCTGATATCTTGTTCCTGACCTCAATGTTCAGGTCATCATATAAAACTGCTCATTTAGATACATAGGACAACTCTTATATCTATTCACCAACTAGCCTGAAACCCTCTCATAATGCTCTAAACAATCGAGGACCCTCCTGATAGATTGTTTCTGGCCATTGATGGATACAATCATATAATCAACAAAAGAAAGGTGTAAGATAAGAGTGCTACCTCCATGCCGATATCACATACTGGGATAGGCCTGAAACCTCTTAGTGAGAAAGTGGGAGAAATAGTCCAGAGCAATAATAAACAAAAAAGGTAAGATGGGATCACCTTTGTTTGAGCCCAAATGAGGATGGGAAGAAACCACATGGACGGCCATTCAAAAGCACTGAGAACTGACATTTTGAAATGCACGATCTGATCTTATCACAAATGACCAAATCTAAACACTCCCAATATAGAATAAATGAATCCTCGTTCCATGTGGTCATACACCTTAGCCATGTCAAGCTTCAGCATAGCATTTCTCCCCAGTACTTTATCATCCAGAGTTTGGAGGAGCTCCTAGGTCAATAACATAGTATCCCTTATAAGGCGATCCGGAATAAAACTATTATGCTTATGAGAGATAATATGGGGCAACAATGAACTCAATCTGGTGTTTAGTAGCTTAATGATCAACTTTTGAACACCGTACAAAAGCTAATAGGTCTAAAATCTGTCCATTAGCAAGCATTCTCTCTTTTTGGAAGCAAAACAATAGAGGTAGCGATGAAAC